GGAGATGCTTTGATATTCCCCTGCTGTTACTGACTGACCTCGTGCTACAAGTTCACAGTTTATCTTTTTTTTCCCCTTCTACTTTTACTTTTAGGTTGAAGTTTGAGGTGTGCATAAACACTTGCTGGTTTGGTTTTGGGAGTAAGGTGCATAGAACTTTGTTTTAATTTGAGCAGATTGGGGTTGCATGAAAAGAATTATATAAGATTATATAATGGCTATCTCAAATTTCAAGGCTCTAGAGCATAGGACCTGTCCTTCTCTTCCCCCTGCCCTGGGATGGGCTGTATCCTTCCAGTATTGCAAAGGATCCTTCTTCATTTCTTTTCTTTTTCCCTTCTTTTTTAAATGGGTACATGAAATCATAATATAATTAGACAACTATTTTAGCAGAAAATGTTGAAATTAAGGTTAATATTTTTCATGGAATAAAAGAATAAAAGCATCACTAGCATTTCATACTGCTGATACACTGATATACACTCAGTTGGACTGGTTTTAGGAGTTGTTTACTCAAGCAGAATGTGAATGAGGTGACAGCAGATATACTTTTTTCCTTTATTTCTACATGGGAGAAAGGCCGTTCCATGGGCTCACGAGCTGCTGCCTCTCTGATACGTCAGCTTAGCCAGAATGATGATGATGATGATGACTTCATTCGAGGTCTCATATGTTTATCTTACCCATTGCATCGACCAAAACTTCAGTCCAAGCTCCGGGATGAAGATTTATTATTTATCAGGTGTCCAGTGCTATTTGTCTCAGGATCAGCAGATGAGATGTGTGAAAAAGTGAGTACCCTTGTAAATCCTGCCATGAAAAGGCAGTCTGGAAGAGTAGAAATGAGCCAGTGATATCTGTATGGTGTACCTGATTACAGCCTTCTCTAAATATATGTCTTCTGAAGGAAGCCTTGGATGGACTTTGCTGGACATAAGGAAGCCTGGTGGTGCTTTCCTTTGCTGCTTAAAACCTATGGATCATGCTTGATCTTCCACTTTAGATAACTCATCTTTGGGCCACTGCAATACCGCAGATTTAAGTGTTTTTTATTGCACAAATTAAAAGCAGCCTGTGGAAGGAGTGAGTTGCTATTTTGTTTTAACTATTTCAGGTTACAAAACATATATGCTGTACTGCGCTACCAATTTCACATTTGTCACGTTTTCACGACAAATTCTTCTAGCAAAGCAGTTCTGACTCACAAATCAGGCTTCTGTAGTAGAAAGTGATATTTCTGTAGAGATGAAGAGCAGGTGTGCAGAGGTGAGCACACAGTGGTTTTCTGCCTCATTTTCCTGCAAACAAGTATCTGTTGTTCTTGAACAGGTCAGCTTGAATTTGGGAGTGTGTCCAACTGGCATTTTCCATGCCTGGACAGCTTCTAAGGAGTCATAGTGCATTTGAGAGGAGCTGTCACCAAAATAAGTCAGGCTAGCAACGAGCAGATCCCTGGAGTGCCCTCTTAATGCAGAAATCTTTAAAGAGTTTCTGAACTGGTTCTTAGATCTGTTTGCTGAGAAAGTGCAACAGCATCAAAGCCACTCCCTAAGGAATTATATTGCTATTCTGCCCCTATAGACAAAGCTGACTTAGAAAGTTCTATCTTTATTGCTAGCACTACCCTCCGACAGTAGAAGTGGATTCCTTTGTCACTGTGGGGAAGGTGCCTGCAGAGGGTTGTGACCTTTTCAGTTTTTGAAGTTTTAATTTGCTGCTATTCTGTGTTTGAGTGAGGGCAGACCTTTGAGCAGATCCCATTCCTGAGCACTGCATTCATATCCTGAATACAGAATACATCCCATTTTCCTATCAAGGTGTTTTTCATGTGCACCCAAATCCATTTTGTTTTTAAGAGCTGCCTATTAGGCATTACATAGGCAAAATGAGAGACACCTAGGAGTTGCACAGTTTGTAGCAGCTGATTCTCTAACTTTTTTATTCTTATTTTCTCCATAGCAATTGCTAGAAGGTGTGGCAAGCAAAATGAAAGCCCCCCAAAAAATCCATTGGATTGATAAAGCTAACCATGGGATGGCAGTCAAAGGACGAACAACAGATGATGTCATGGAAGAAATAAATGCACAAGTTTTTTCATGGCTTAGAGAGAATGCTGAACTGGAGCACAAATAATTTGCAGTGTTTAAGCAGTTTCTTCACATAGTTTTTCCCAAATATGGCAAATTAAGAGTTTGTTATTTTTGAGAGGCATATTTTTTAAAACAGATCTTTTCAGAGGTCTCAGTGCAAATACAAATAAAGCTTTGTATGAATTAAAAAAATATGCAAAACAATAAAGAACTTCTTGAAGGACAGAAAATATTTAGTATCATGGCAGCATTTTTTTCTGTGTTTCTGTGCAATTAACCATATACAACACTTAGGAATGAGAGCACTAAGTAAATGCTTTTGACTAATATTTGAAGTAATATACTGGAAAAAAATCTACTTGGACAGCATATCTTTAGGTACCTTCAATTTCTGAGTACATCACTGATGCTCTACTTGCTTGCAATTAAAACCTGCTGATTTGTGGAATTCTACCAGCACAGCACCTGAGGCTGGTGAGCCTGGTGTACTACCCTGCCTTGGTCCCACATCCTCCACTCCCAGGTGCTGAGAGGAGTCTCATGGTTTACAGTGTCGTCACCTCAGGGAGCCAGACTGTGGGACTGTGTAGGGAGGAGGAGGTAATGCAGGCACAGCTGGGCAGTGGATCAAAGAATGTGGGTTATAGCTTTGAACAGTCTCCTCCAGACATGTCCTTTGTGTAAAGGACTGATCACAGAGGCCCTCTAATAAATACTGATGAACAACAAATTGTGTTTATAGGGATGGAGGAGCTCCTGAAGCAGGAAGCGGTTCTGCCTCCAGTGTGACCTGCTGCACAAGACTTCTCTCTGGAGGGCTCTAAAGGGGCAGGCCAGGGTCTGGACCTCATTACCCATTAGCAAGGGGAACTTAAGTCCTTGTCTGAGCTCTGACATTGCACAGCAGATGAAACACTTCCTGTGTGCTGGCAGCTGCAGCCTTCCCCATTATGGGCTATGAGTAACCTGCTGGTGTAACCAAAGCTTACAGCAATATATGAATTGTGTTTTTCCTTCAGGTTAACAAGATTTATTATGAACCCCACCCCCCTAACTTTGAGAATACTGATTCTCTCAGAAGGATCAAGGTTATGGTCTGAAAAAGAAGCCTTTGGGTAGATACGTGTGTGGGGAGCAAATGTACAATTCTCATCCACCCTTTTTTGCAGAACAGACTTCTGAAAAGACTCAGTATAACAAGCATGAGTAAAAAGTATCTGGATCTCCAAGGTAACTCAGGACAGGAACACATAACTGATACAAACATGTTTTTAATTAAAAAAAAATCATAAAAATGTGTTTGAACAAGATTCTGCCACCACCACATAATAAAAAGGAAATAGGGGGTACTTTGTTTTCTTCCATATGGTAAACTTCATAATATCCACTGACATTATCCGCTGGCATATTAATTCAAATTTTTCTTCTTTCTTTAAGAAGACAGTCTGAATGTAGGCAAATACTGAAAAAATTAATTAATTCCTTTCTGTCAGAGTTCATCTTTGGCCTGCAGTCAAGAAAGAAGAAATGTGTTTCAGTTAACTGGAAGCTCAATTTTTCACTGTCTAGTCCTGCAAATACATCAAGAAACGTTTCTAAGTTTGATAGGTGTTAATGGCTTGGCCTGTTAACTGATATCAGGGGCACTGAGCAGCGCCTCTCCCAGGGAGGTTGACAAGAACTGAAGACACCTAGCACTTTATGTTTAACTCTGCAAGTACTGTACCTTTTTTCGGTGGCAAGTACATGGGAAAAGGTCATCATCAGGCTGTGGCACTTTCTCCATTCCATCTCTGATTTTTGGCTCGCTCACTTGCAAGCTGGCATATTCCTAGTTTAAAAAAAATGAAGGTATTGTTAATTCATAAAGCTGTTAGATTGTATGTCTGGCTGTAAATACTGCACCAACTCAGCTGAGTAATTCTGTAAAAACTCTGGGGTACACAATCTGTTACTCCACACTGTGTCACAGGGTAAGCAGATACTTAACTGCAGAAGGGAGCCCCTTCGGGTGCCTCACTGGAGTTTCGGTACCTTGGTGCTAATGCACAGATATTTTCAGCTGTGGTTCACAGGGTGTGCATCTGATGTGGAATTCTTTGATCATTGTGGGCAACATATTCTTGCAGATTAGATCACGATTTATGGGATATGACTGCTTCTGAAAGCATCACATCACCATAGTCTTAAAGAGGTTTCACAGGATATAACTGAATACGTTTGTAAACCAAATTAAGATTTTAATTGCTGATGCTTGCTCTGTGGCTTCAAGTATTGGGCTGGCCAATTTCCAGCAGCTCCATTGCCCTGAATTCTTTCTCTGTGATTACTATTTTTGTGCCAGTAGCCATTAAAAATATACTGACCTGGAAAAGTTTGAAGTAGTAACAAAAAATGTGGTCTCCCATGAGATGGTTTCTTGCAAATTCTTGTCCAGATTTTGCAATATTTTTTGCCTGTCAAAAAAAATAAAAGGTTTGTTTTGGTTTTTTTATTATTCCCCAAAACTAATATTTATTTCAGGATGCCAGTGTTGATTATGGAGTTAAGTATGATGTTGAGAGTTTAGGATAACTTAAATAAGCATTTTTAATTTAAATGTTAAGGCACTGTTATGAAAATGTTCTTAATTCTTTGCAAAGTTTAATTTCAAATTAAGGGCAGTATTATGTATTTTTCAAGTGTTTTTCTTATTTGTGGAGTTGAAAATAATTTTTAAGTTCTTCTAATAGGTTTTTTTGTTTGTTTTAAGGAAATGCAATTTTTGTTCTCTTCTAGAAACATTACTGAGCACTTCTAAATGTGTATTTACCTCTTCATCATGCTCTTTTGCCCACTGTAGTTTTTCTAGTAGATCACTCAGGTCACTTTTAAATGGAATATAATGTTTCCACGGCTGCAGCTCATTATAAAAATGCTCATAGTATATGGAGTCTTGCTTTAGCACCACACTGTTTCCTGCTAGTAGATAAGGCAATCTGTATGCTGCCACTGTGCCATCAATATTAATTTGATATTTATACTGGAAAGAAAAGGACCATACGTTATTAACAAACACAAGATCCCAGTGGCTTGGTTAGATTATATTATTCTGAGGGCACTGGTGTTACTGACTTGCCGATATTGAGACATGTAGGACTGGCTAGGCAAGCATCAATGTCTAAGTAGCTTTTATTATTTAGTTTGGAATTCATCACAGTGCAGGGTACACAGAGCTGCCCTCTTCATCAGTTAAGTTCTCCGGGAATTCTTAGACGCTCATCCTCTGATGTGAGGGTAGATGTGCCACTTCATCCACCGATTTTCCCACTATGTTAGTTATGTTAGTAGTCCTGATCGCTGAATCAGGAAAAAGAAATAAAAAGGAACTTGAAGTTATATAGATTACATAAGGTTCTATAGAACCTTTAGATGTAAATCAGACATTATCATCTTCAGTGTAAGAGCTACATAGCAGTTAATCTCCCTGGAGGGATGTCTATTCATGCTTGTTACTGGTGTTGTCCTGAAAAACTAAAAACCACTTTATTATTAATAATACATACTAAGTTATTCGATAATGGGAAACCTAGTTCTATGAAAAATGGTTAGTGACTTACCTTAAAAAAATCAAAAAATGAAATGTGCTTAACAATAGGGCCATAGAGGCTTTCATCATGTTTAAAGAAAAAAAAGTTTGTGAAAGCAGCATCTATGATCTCTGGATATTTTCTGCTGAGTTTTACAAGCTCAAGCCTCTCTTTGCGGCTGTCACGTCCTCTCCAGAATGCTGTGGTATTCTTGTCTTCCCACGATGGGCCAGTGTTTGCTTGAACTGACATCATATCCAGACTGACTCTGGAGCAGAAAGAAGTGATTTAATAGGGAAGCCTGCTGGAAATATTTTTGAGTGCAATTACAGTACCAACAGGTGAATACCAAGGAGGAAAGTAAGTCATGAGCACACCATGATCTGTATTGTATCAATATTTTGCAGCAATAAAAACATAACAAATGTTAAATTCACAGGTGTGTGGCATGACAGCATCAGTTCAACAACATGGCATGGGGAAAGAGTACCTGGCAATTGTCATGGAAAAAAGCAGGTAAAAGTGGATATGTTTTCCAAACAGGTGAAAGTGATGCAGGGTAAAGTAACTTGCTTAATACAGCATATTTCGCTTCCTTAAAAATGTTGCTAAATTAAAACACATAAACTGGGAGGGCAGAAGGTAGCAAATTTAGGGAAAGTCTTGATAATAGAAAAAGGAACCAGAACTAAACGCAGTGAAATGATAAACAGTTTCAAGATGGATTACAGAGATCTCTTAGAAGCTGGCTTGGCAGTATTTCAGGACAACAACAGAGCAGTTGCCAAGCCTAATTATGATCAGTAATCAACATGGGAGATAGTAGCTCCTAGTTCAAGAATTCTAGCTATGTTGGGATTTTAAAGGTACAGAAAAAAGGACTCTATCAAAATCAGGAAAAAAAAGACACCTGGGTAGTCATCAATATATTCATGTGGGGAGAAACAAAGCAAACAAACCAAATAATTACCCTTGAAACATTCTAACTGCTATTGATTTTGGTTTTTTAAATGAAACAGTGAACTATAATGTTAACATATTGATTACACAGTTATTGCCTACCTGCAGCGTGCCATTATCTCAATGAATAAATGGAAACAGTTAATACACTGTTAATATACATATCTCTATGGAAAATCATTCACTGTGAATTTTGTGGAAAGTTTAAGCAATTTCTTACCGTCCCATACTCTCCAAAACTGAGTCTGTTAAGTCATATGTTGGCATAACGATATCTTTTGACTCACTGGACCCACACCACGAGAAGATGGGGTGCAGGTTCTGTGGGGACTTCTTTTTCTCCAGAGGCCAGTCCCCCAAATTAACAAAAAATTCTACATCTGGCATTTTCACCTAAACAGAAGCAAATTAGGCACAAGTGCAATTTAACACAAAGCAGTATTCTTCTGCTGCCATCTTGCATTTTGAAAGCATGAGGAAAAAATAACCAGGTGTCTAATATACTTAATATACCTGTAATACATCATTAGACTTTAGAAACATGTTAGAAGTACTGAGACCACAGAGTAAAGCCTGCAAGATAATATTTTTTTAAAAAAAGATTTGTACAAAGTCACAAAAATGCTCCCTTTTTAGAAGCTGGGTTCTTTACATAATTGGCCACACAATCTTTGTATCAGGCTAGCACTGGGACCTAGTAAGCAATTCTATAGTTCCAAGGTAAGCTGAACCACCTTGTTACTATATGGGATATTGCTTTTGGGTGGTAAATTAGCTTTCTGTCACATCAGTGAACTGATTCACCTTGTGTCTGCAGGATGCCTAAATCCAACAGAAGAAACAGAAATGAACAGCTATGATGGGAAGACCACATTTAGTCAGAGCTGGGGTTAATTATTAAGCATAACATCCTCACTTATTTAAAGTATTTTGTAGTATGGAACCATTGCTGAAATCACTATCACAGCTAAAAAGCAAGCAAAATACTGTTGATGGCCAGGAAGCAGGATAGAGGGCATAATTTTGCAGCTATATGAAACTGTGTTGCACCCTGATCTTAAGCACTGCATGTGGTTTGGGTATTTGCAAGTGAAGTAAGAAAAGGTACAAAAAAAGGCAGCTTCACACTTTTCTAAAGAAAGGACCAGCTGCCTTGTGAAGAAAATCTGAAAATGGTAGGACAGTTCAGTCTGGAGAGCAAAAGGCAAAAGATGACATATGGCTATGTTTTACAGAAACCTGAAGGTACCTATAATGTCAGTATAGAACTCAGGCTGTATCTCAGTTCACTCTCTTAAATTTTTTAAAAAAACATAAATCTCTACTACATCCCCCTTAGTTGCCTCTTTCAAAGCAAAAGAAGTTAATAATTTGGCAAATATCAAAACTCCCCTAAATGGTTGGAAGATATTCTTCTTTAACTCGACGACACGGGAAGAGGCAGATACCCAAAGCAGTACTTTTTGCCTTCAGTACATAGACGGACAGAAAAGGTTTCATTGTGTACCTTCCGTGGGAGTTGCTACACATTCTAATCCTCAGCACTAAACTTCATTAGCACAGTGCCATCTAATGGTTATAATGGGCACAAACCCCTACAAATTGTATTTTATCTACATCTTCAATGGCAGAATCATTCAGCAGGTTATATCTTCTTCTCCAACCAAAAGATGTATTGTCATTCGGTGACAACGTCTTGATAGAAATTTCCGAGGTATTTAATGGGACTGAGACAAACTGTGTCTTCTTGTAAACAGTTTCTGTCTTCAGAGTTAGCAATTCTTTTTCAATGTTCAGCCTAAATTCCATAGATGCAATTTAATTCCATTATTTCTACTGCCTACTCACACCAAGAACAGTTTACTTCCATCTTCTGTGGAGCAACCTTTTAGATAATTAAAGGCTACATTGACATCTTCCCTTAGAAACTGTTAGATGAAACAATCCCCACTTAAATGACTTTTCATTTGTATGTCTAGTCATTCTTACCATTTTCCTGTGTAATCTTTCTTAAAGCATGACACCCAAAGGCAGATAGAGTAGCATAACTGATCCATTACTCATCCTGAGGATGGTTATTTTACATTTCTTTCACGTGTTGTGTTAATATGTGTGGTTAGTTTTCACAACAGCATGCCACTGTTGACTCACATTACATTTGTGATACCTTAAACCTTCACGCTTTTCTGCAGAAAATTACCACTCCCCCCTTTTTAAATAGCTGTCATAACTATATCACTTATCTAGCCTTTGTGTAGTATCCTGCCCTTGTCACTTTATTTTATCCATTTTTCCATACAATGTCTCTTACTTGTTAAGAAAATTTAAAGATATAATGCTGTACCATGAGGTGCTTGCAGGTTCTTTCATTTTTGCTATCTGAAAATTCAATAAGCATATTCTCTAGTCCATTATTCAGTCAAAATATAACTAGTTATTAAATGGTGACTGAATCTATGATAAATCTCTGAAAAGTATGTTTGTGACACCTTTCACATCTCTGCAAACACTGGCAAAAGTTATTTAAGTAAGGCTTTCCAAGCAGGTTACATTAGTTTCTTCTAGGCAAAGAATTCTATGTTGTTCGTGATTTAACCTCAAAAGCCTAAAATGAAGACATCATACAGGGAAACTGTTATCTTGTTATAGAAAGAAATTATAGTGCTATGACTTATATTTCATGATAAATCCATGTTGTTTCATACCAATTACCTTATCTTTCAGCTACTTATAATGTGTTTGTTTTTATTAGATTTTGAAGAAAGGTTTTTAGGTGAACAACTCCATACTTTAGTAGGTCCTCTCTCTTCCTTCTCCCCTTTTTAAAAGGCCAGGCACTTTGCCTTTTTGCAGTCAAAAACAGATATTAACTTGGCTATATTAATATTTCTCTTACTACTTATTTTATGTAAAAATCACATATTTGCATGTGCTGAAACTTCAGCCCTGCTATATTCTGTCACTGTGTACGTCAGGTTTTTTTTCAAAGTTTTCCTAGGAAAGAGTCTTCATGGTGCTTTTTGCTTGTACAATCAAGGGAGTTTCCCCACACAACACCTGCTGGGCTTTTGGTCCTCCTCCTTAACTGAATTTAATGGAGGATGATATACATGTCCTACTTTTCTTAAGTCATCTTGTAAACTGTACTAGCAAATTTCCTATTAAATGCTACAGGATGATTTATTTTGTCTACAGAAAAAAAAAAACAACACAATCTGTCCAGATTTATCAACTCACCTATAAAAGCGTGCTATTCAATTAACTTTTGTGATACTCTGATCAGATGGCATTCTAGAACATGCCAGCTTCAAATAAGGAAAATCCATCTGACCTTTCCATTATTAATGAAAGAACAAGAGCTTTTTAACAGATACAGCAACAAATATGCAGAAGTGTATTTGTTAATCCCAGGCTTCTATAAATTGAGGCATACAGAATAAATGACTGTGTAGATATACTCACTTTTCTTGTCAAAGAAAGCAGTATGGCATCCATGAAAATTCTGAAGCCAACATGTTCCCCATATGTCTTTATATAAACCTGAAAATAAACAAAAGTTTTATTGGCCTGGTGTTTTCATTTCAGAGAATGGCTGCCACAATTTAGAGCTCTTCTAATTGCTTAGCAACTAATCAGACAGATTGTATGGCTGTACAGATTTATGAATCAGCTGGGAAGCTTTAGAAATCTCATCACAGAAAACTGACAAAAAAAAAATTACAAGCTTTGCCTGCTTTTTAAAATATTCCAGGTCTGTTTCATGGAAACAGAAACTGGTTGCCTACTTCTGTTGTGTTCCACTGTTCCCATTTCCCTATAAAACTCTGCTGAAGTACAGTTCTGTTAAAAAGAATTGTAGCTCTGATTGATCCTCAGTGGAACTAAAAGTGGTATTTCCTTACCTCAGAACTATGCACAATGTAATTTATTAATGCACTCCAAATTAGATGATTGTGATACTTCACAGCAGTATTACTCAGCAAACAGGAAACTGAATTAGCATTTAGGAGACTTGGGTGTGTGCCCAGTACTCATATTGATTGCCTGGAAAGTAATTTGCCTTTGCTGTGTTGCAGTTGCTTCAGTTGCAATGTGGACAAGAAGCACTTATAAAGCAGGACAGATATTGCTGAGCTCATATACAAACTGCAAAGTATTCAAGAACAGAGAAGCAAGCAAAGAAGCTTTTACAACTGGGAACAGCCAAACTGCCCAGTTGCATGTTTTGCTACCAAGTTCCCATAGGGACTTCACATTATCCCATTCCGTACCTCGTTATCTCTGATGGTGTAGTGACACAAACTCTGTCTTTGTCCAAACCTCTGTGGAATTTCTTTTGCAATCTTATCTGGATCAACAGTGGGAAAATTTGCTAGGTCTCTTTGAATCTGTGGCATGGTTTGAGGGCAGTTCATCTCTTCCAGCCAAGCACTGCTGTCCTCCTGAGGGCAGTCACAGTTTTCATGGTAAACAGGTCCTATCAGGAACACAATTATTATTTTTAATAAATCATACTATTGACTTGTTGAGATCACAAAGGAGGGTCAGGCACTGAACATTCATTGCTTAGTGCCAAACAGTCAGCAACTCTCCGAATGGACATGTTTGAAATTTTTTTTTTTAATTCCAACGGAGTCATGTCAATCTACATCAGCTTCTGTGTGAGCCCTCTCCATGTATTTGCTAGGCAACAGCTTCACAGCATTTGCTTCTTTTTATTATTTTAAATAGTATGTGTAGGACACTTATAAAGAATCCATAATTCCAATGGATTTGACAGTTCAGAAAAGTACTGAGGTCCCAAAGAATCCTATGATTATCCGAGAAGACATTCTGGCACACAGTTTGTGAGAAAAAACTGTGATAGGAAATCTGTGTGTAATGCTGCCTCTTACCTTTTAAAACATATGGAGACTGTGCGACATGTTTATCTCCAGTTTTGACTTCTATCTTCAGGTTCTGGTAGCTCGCGTACATCCTGTATCTCACGAGGAAGGAACCATCTTTCCTGTCTAACACTTGCACACCAACCCGAGTGAACTGTTCATCAGGAGCAGTGATCTTCACCTGGAATGCATTTTCACCTGGTGACGAAGTGAACCTACCCGGAGAGTAAGTGGGAGCTTAATAAAAAAGCCAACACACAACAGATATTTTAGTCCAACCCATTCCTTCTCAAGCTGACAGATTTCCAGTAACTTCACTGAGCCATGCTAGGCCTCTTTGAGTACATCCTAATGCTCGCAAACAAGGCGTGATTTTTTCCAAAGGGAATTTTGTTAGGCTACCTAAAATGTCTCATGCTGTTGAAGCATAAGGCATCAAGAAGGTTTCACTCGGTCATGAACACACCTCTAAAAATCACTTGGTGCCCTATATGTTGAACGGTGTTGGAAATACGGTCTTTGACTATGTGGGAACAGAGCAGCTTTAAAAATCCAGCACAGCTCTTGATTAGTAGTAGCTCAAATATAAAATGATGGGAAGGTAGAGAGCATGTAGATAAATGGATATATCTTGGTGTTCTGTCCTGTAGGGACAGAGCAAGTGGCAACGGTTTTAAACTGAAAAAGAGTAGATCTGATTGAATATAAGTAAGACATTGTTTACAACGAGGGTGATGAGACACAGAAATAGGTTGCCCAGAGAAGTTGTGGATGCCCCATAAGTAGAAGTGTTCAAGGTCAAGTTGGACAGAGCTTTGAGCTACCTGGTCTAGTAGAAGGTGTCCCTGCCCATGGTATGGGAGTTGGAATGAGGTGATCTTTAGAAGTCTCTTCTAACCCAAACCATTCCATGATTCTATAAAAAAAAATACTAAAACAAGTTTCGCTTTAGCAGCTTAATAAGTCTGTTATTTTACATTCAGACGCAAAATGTTTTCAGATTATTTTATTTTCCAGGTATTATTTAAGGAAGTAAAGCTTATGGTAGCTCATACAGGGGGGAAAAAAAGAATACTAAAAATGCCAATGTCTCAGTAGGGAAAAAAACATTACAGTGGGATCATGTAATTCAGTGTGTACTTACAATATTTTGGTAAAATTCATCATATACCAAACACAGAAAAATCTCCATAAAACCAAATACAGTAATCTGAAAAATCATCTGAAGTTATCACATATCACTGAGGTACAAACAAAGCTGGTGCAGTCAAAATGCTGCATCTGCCAACTTTCTTCCACCTTTCTTTCATCCCTTTAAACACAGTCCAAAATATTTATGGAGAGCCTCGGATAGAGAAAGAGGTGGTGGGACTAGCTGGACTAAGTTACTACTAAGTAGCTGGACTACAGCCCAACAGTCTGGTTACTTTAACTTGTCCAGACATACCAGGGATCTGGCAGTTCAACGAAAGGCAGGAAATATTTACTTTCCATGATAAACTGAACTGGCAGCTTCTGGACTGACACAAGCCATGGTGCATCTAATCTGGATGACTGGATGGAGCATTCCAAGCTCCTACCTGGGCTGTACGATCAGAGTTTCTTCCCTTTAGAAATGGGAAGCCATGAGCGTCCTCTGAAAATCACAAAATCACAGAATACTTAGGGTTGGAAGGGGCCTCTGGAGACCACCTAGTCCAACCCCCCTTCCAAGACAGGGTCACCTACAGCAGGTGACATAGGAATGTGTCCAGGTGGGTTTGGAATGTCTCCAGAGAGGGAGACTCCACAACCTCCCTGGGCAGCCTGTTCCAGTGCTCTGCCACCCTCAATGTAAAGAAATTCTTCCTCACGCTGAAGTGGAACTTCTTGTGTTTTAGTTTATGGCCATTGCTCCTCATCTTATTTCATTCCTATGAAGTTTTATCTAATGGCCTATGGAGTAATTAGTAAATGACTTTACTGATGTCATGCCTACACATGTAGGAGAAATACTGATGTTCCCAACAGTGGAAACAAGCAGGATGCCTGAACATAATAAATTAAATGTATTTGTCACTGTTAAAGTTTTGACAAAAGAGAATAAATAATAAATTTTTGGTTGGACTAACATGTATGTTTTGCTGCTGAACATTTGCATCATCTTCATCCCCTGCAAATCGCGAAGTTATGTGATAATCACAGAAAAAATTAATTAGTTTTCACTAAGTGATATACAGAAAAAAGTCACGTCGAGATCTTTCAGCCTGCCCTTTCTACAAGAAAACCCCAAGCCTTCCGGACTGCCCACAATGTCCCTGGAAAGCCGCCGCGTCCTCACCTCTGCCCCTCGGCGTCCACGGCCTGCACGAAGAAGTACCGTGCGGGGAGCGCCGCCTGGGCCCGCAGCCCGGGCCCCCACACCGCGCTGCGCTCGGCGCTCGGCTGCCCGGCCCCGCCCGCGGCCGCCGCCGCGGCTGCCAGGGCGAGGCACAGAGGCCACAGCATGGGCAGCGCTGCCCAGACGGCGGAACACCGCCGGAACCGGCCTCCTGCCCTCGCCGCGGCGCTGGGGAGTCCTGCCCTCGGCGCGGCTTCACGGGGCGGGGACGGAGGGGAAGGCGGGGCGGCGCTGCTGGAGCCGCAGGCTGGGCGGGAGGCGCCGCGGGAGTCCTTACTGGAGACATCTGGAAACCGCGTGGAGACTTTCTTGTGTCACCCGCACTTGTGTCACACCTGCTTTGGCAGGGGGGTTGGACTAGATGATCTCCAGAGGTCCCTTCCAACCCTCACTATGCCGTGGTTCTGTGATGTGGGGCAGCGGGTAGCTCAGGTCTAGGATTGTCTGCAGCAGAGGTGAAAGGGCACCACATCAGTCCCCTGCCAATCGCCCAACAGGCACCTTCGGTGATTCCATGGGCTTTTGTCTGTCAAATAATCCAACCTCAGGTTGCAGAACGCTAGTGCCAGTGCTTTGCTTAACTACAAACACAACCATTTGGGCTGCAAAAGACCCCTGAGAACATGGAGTCCAACTGCTAACCCAGCACTGCCAACTCCACTAGTAAACCCTGTCCCTGAGCACCACATCCTACACACCTTTTAAATATCCTCAGGGGTAGTGACTCAACCACTAACTTGGGCAGCCTGTTCCACTGCTTCACCACCCTTTCTGTGGAGAAATTTTTACTAATATGCAGTCTAAACCTTTCCCTGGTGCAACTTGAAGCCATTTCCTCTCATCACTTACTTCTTGAAAAAACCAACACCTACCTTGCTACAATCTCCTTTCAGGTAGGTTGTATTCAAACAAATGCTTTTGTCATTTAGCTGCAGAAGCCTTACAAAAATTAAGGCTTCTTCATGGGAGAACTCAAATCCCAAAAGATACTTTCAATTTTGCTCCTTTTTGCTTTTCTCTTTTTGTTAAGGCAAACAATACAGAAAATTAAACCTCATCATCAGAGTCATGAATTTCAAAGAGATTTTGTTTTTTATATTTTGAAATACTGCATGTTTAGAGAAAAGCACACAAAAGTCACTTTCTTGGAGAAAATTGCAAGCTGAAAAATGATCACTTGGTTTAACGAATGCAGTCTTTTCTAACCAACAACCTCATTATGAAATTACTTAAAAATTATCAAGCTCCAGCTTTTAAAAACATAGGTTTTGCCCCATGATGTTCCCATTGACATGGTTTTTCAGGACATTCAGTTAGAAGATTTGCAATTTCCAGCCTAAAAATTCACACAGGCCCTATTTTATATCCATGACCTTTTAGCTCTTCTTTCCCCATCTTTACTCTGTTGATGTGTTATACAGGCAGAAATCATACTCTACTTGTATTTTGCTGTACCAGAGAAGCCAGTCCCCTCTAGTGGAAAAGAACTTTAGAGATGTTTTTATTTAAAAGCTATAGAATTCACAGAACATCCTTCTTCTTCCTAGCAGGGTGGCACTGACACAGCAGTGATGAAGCAAGGGTGACACACTTCCACCCTCCTGATGTTCTCTCCTCCAGCTTTTCTCCTCCACATAAGTGCAGCTCAGGGAATCCATGCAGAGATCTGACACTATTTGTCAGCACCCAAACAAGTTGTAAGATAAATCATGCAACCTAATTTTAGTCCTGGCTGGCAAAGCCAACGTTGCTGCTACCCTAATGTCTATAATTTGGCTCAGATAAAAATGCTTTGGAGGGAGAATCATTTAATTACATCAAAGGCTGTTGGCCAACTAAGGCTCAACAGGCTTCCAGCTGGCAAAGGCATAAGGGCTGCTCTCCATTACAATAGGGATGTTGCCTCAGGATGAAGCCATGTAAAATACCGAAAACTTGTGTCCAGGGTGTTAAAGAATACATTCAGTGCAGGTAGCTCAGTGTGCAGCTGCAGTGCCAGCTGCAGGTTGAGCTCTGGGGGTGCAGAAGCCCCAGCCCAAGGCAAGGGGCTGTGAACTGCTGACCTTTTGCCTAACAAAGGGCACTGGGACCCGTGGCCCATCCAGGGGACCAGACACTCAGCAACAGGGCAGGAGCCAAGGACCCCCAGACTTGCCCTTCCTTAGACTATGAGGGTCTAAAAGCCCAGGGGTCTCTTTGTTCAGGGTCCCTCCTCGGAGACACCAGCAAGAGCTATTATTTTCTTATTTAGTTATTGCACCAAGATTAAATTCTTTTAAGGATCTGGATGTCTGAGACTGCGCTATGGGAAACCTGGGGTCAAGCTTGTGAGGAAACCTGGTCTGACTGTGAGTGTGGGGGGTGTAGCTGCAAAGGGGCCTCAGTCCCGCGAGTCTGACTGCCAGAGTGCCAGAGTGGTTGGACAGGGAAGTTTCCTTAACACAGGGGATGGCAAACTTGGCTGTACCCACAACTTCTTTCTAGATGACTTTTGCAACTTTGCTCTGCCTAACCACTAAGAACTATCAAATAACTCTAGCATTCGAGAACACATTTATTTTTTCTCATTATCTGCAGCACTTCTCACATAAACTACTGCTGGGAGTAGGGGCTCTGTGAGCTGAGAGCACTGTGCTGTAATCGCTGGCAGTGAATCTTCTTCAGCAGTACCCCATATAACTTTTTTTATTTAAAATTTTGTAACTACTTTGTTATAAAATCAATTAATTAATATCATGATTTCAGATATTTAAAAATAAACGAATTTTAAATAATAGTGGTAGTACCAGAACAGCTCCAATTGTATCTTCAGTGTCATTGTGTTGTTCATGTTGAAATTATGCTGGGTGAAGGATGCGATGAAAAGTATTTTCATCAGTTCTAGACACTTACCTAAAATAGACTTCTGTTCCTTCATACAGTTTTCTGGAAGCATTTTTGTTACATGTACTGTTATTACTGTCAGGGGAACCAAGAGAAACCTGGTGCAAACAAAAGGTCCAGATGTCAGTCCCCTATTCCCAGGGATAACCTAACACTCACTATTATGCTCCTACACCTTTACTATGCTCAGCAGGAAGATGTAGCCAAGTTAGTAGCGTGGCCCCAAAGCTGAACCAAGACTTGTGTTGAGCCTGGCCTACGATATCCCACTTTCACATAAGAGCTTGGGGCAGCAGGAACTGGTGTCCCAGACACCCCCTAGGCCATTTGAGGCAGGCAGGTGCCAGCAGGTGCAGGTACTTGGCGCACCTGCATCCCAAAGGGATGTAGTGAGGGCATGGGGTGACCCCAAGCTGCCCAGGGGGCAGTTCCAGTGGCTGTCGGGGCCAGAGCTGGGAGGCTTTGCCGAGCACATGCAGCACTCCGGGTGGCAGTGGCGACGAACCACTTGAATCAGGGTTTCATTAGCCAACATCACTTTGCTTTTTCACAGAATGGGCCAGGTTGGAAGGGATGACAGTGGGTTATCTGGTCCGATCTCCCTGCTCAGGCAGGGTCATCCCAGAGCACATGGCACAGGATTGTATCCAGATGGTTCTTGAGTATCTCCAGTAGGGGAGACTCCACAACTTCTCTGAGCAATCTGTTCCAGTGCACAGTCACTTGCACAGTAAAGAAGTTCTTCCTCATGTTAAGGTGTAACTTCCTGTGCATCAGTTTCTGCCCACTCACTGCCTCTTGAGCTATTGCTTGGCACCACCGAAAAGAGCCTGGATCCATCCTCTTGGCACCCTCCCTTCAGATACTTATAGACACTGATGAGATCCCCTCTCAGACATCACTTCCCGAGGCTGAACAGGCCCAGAACCCTCAGGCTTTGTGTTTCCCGCTTTGTGCCTACTACCAACGCCAGACCCCCTTCCCGCCATCCCCGACTTGCCCCTCCTCTCCCTCCCTCGCCTGCCCCGCGGGCGAGACCATGAGGGCGTATAGGTGGGGGGGGGGGGGGGCGCCAAGGAGGCGCC